AACATTTCTCTTTCTCCACTTCCAATGACATCAAGCTGTTATTGCCACGCCTCCTCTGGCCTTCAGAGGCAAAAAACCCCCAAAAGAACAAATCTTGAAAATCAGTATGGCAACCACATTCAAAATAAACTATTAACCTGTCACATCAAGCCAGAGTTCTTTCCACTGCAACACTCCAGGACACGCTCTTCTGGCATTCCCCGTTCCTCACAAAACTATTGGCTTGCTTTTCCAGTTCAAGGACTCTTCCCCAGAAGCAGTACTGAAAGATAACCCTAACAAATGAGCGCCAGAGGCTGAACTACCCAGACAGCAAACCAAGCAGCACATAGGTCAATTCTTTGTAGCCTTCCCATCCCATTCTATCTGCAAAGGATTAAATTTCAATTTAAGTTATTGCAATTATTCTTAAAATTGCATCTATGCCTATACACAATCAAGGGTCATTTATACAAATCTGTAATCTTCCCTCTTCATATTTTATAGTGAGGCATTTCCCCCTTTTTGGTGGTACATAAGTAATCAGCCTACATCGAGCCTCCAGGGCATAGAATTCCTCATTGATTCATTGATTCATTGATTCATTCAATTTCTCTAGCTGCCCATCTCAATCCAAGTGACTCTGGGTGGTCTGAATGGATCAGCCAGTTATAATCTAAGCCACTCTTTGTCTGTTTCTGTGTCAGGATCTGTGCTAGATACTTGACCTTTTGCCAATGACCAATGGTACCAGTGATCAGTGGTTCATCATTTTCTGGTTCTATATGAATTTAAAGAAGAGTAAAAAAGAAAAGTGTCCTTCAAATCTAGTTTGACTCCACATGACTTCATGGACATGCCCACATAGTTTTCATTGACAATGGCATGGAAATGTTTGCCATTGTCTTCTTATAGGATTTCTTGAATTATTATTTCTCATCTGGCCCCCAGCCATGGCATTTGCTGGGTGTATCTCATAAAAGTACTAACCAGATCTGCCTTTGCTTAGCTTTTCAACAACTGCCAAGGTCAGCTACAACAGTTTGGCTTATAGAGCAATAAATGATGAAAATCAAATCTTGTTAAAGCTGTGCTTCTGCATCAATCTCTTTTTTAAATGTTTTTCTTGACATTGAATGTGCACTTACCTATTTGGATTTTATTTGTTTGTTTGCTTGCAAACAATTTCCTTTGTAATAGTAAAGCGGGAGGGTGGAGGGAGAACCACATCACGTTTTGCTCTATAAGCCATCTTCTGAAAAAGGAAAGTCCTTTGCTTTAGGAAGAGAGGTAATTTTTGTTTGTTTCTGGAAGTGTGGGCACATATAAAGAACTTGTGGTAAAGTGCAATATTACCATACTGAAAACTTTGAAAGTTTGGTAGAGATTTGTAACTCCATATAAGGGGCTGCAGGAGGAAGGCTTTACATAAACAATGAGGCAAAACAATCACTGTGTAATTGCTGGGTTAATCATAGTATGGAAATAAGCCATTTGTTCCTTTTTATTAAAGAATTTCACAATTAAGTTCTTCATGGAGATAGTATATATGTTTGCTTCTCCTATTTCCTATTATTTACTCTTGATAATACCATATTTCAGCTTTATAGGTGCTTTTTCCAACTCAGCTCTTTTGTCCCCCTACCAGCAAAATGAGGGTAGTAATAAAACAATTATTTTAATTCACTATAAATGCATGTATTTAAATGATTAAGTAGGGAGCCTGGGAGACACTAGATGGCTTGGATGACAACCTCAATTAGCTTAAAATAGCATGGCCAATAGTTAGGGATTATGAGAATTGTCATCTTAAACATCTGGAGATCATCAGATTAAATATCCCTGCTAGCCTAGAGAAAAAGGTAGGACTGTAAGGAAATCGTTTTGACACTTTTAAATAAGATTCTGCCCACAGTTAAGCTTCTTAATTGCCTCCAGGTCTCAATCAGAACTGAGGCATCTGTGACCATCCAGATGTGGTTAATCTACAGTTCCTATGCTTGGTACATGATTCATGGAGGGCCACAGATTCCCCACTCAAAATCTAGAATATTGGTGATACAGATGCAAAAATATTAGGGAATTTCCCATCCCTTCCTGTGTTCTTTGCCTACTATAACTCTCCAAGTGTGCAAGCTGCATTAAGCATCCATGGGTAAAGCTACAGGTAAGAATGCATAATTTCCCTAAAGTATTATTTGCTGGAGGCATCTCTATAGTTTTGATAGATGGATGATCTGGTTCAAATGCCCATTTGTGAATAAAGTGAAAACTCAATTTAAGAGAGGTAAAGAAATGTAAATGAGTACTTGGACAAACTTTGAATCAAGAAGCAACGGTAGGGAAGCAGTTTCATTCCTTGCCCCATGGCTGCTGCAGTTCATTCCTATGCAGCTTGTTATTATAGTAAATAGAAGTAGAATTTTGTTAAAAGACTGCTTATTTCTTCTTTCCCGTCCACTCAAATGATCTCTCTACTCAAAATCATATTGACACATTTTTAAAAACTGTTTTGAAAGAAAAAAAACCCCTAGCAGCTGTGTTACTAAAAATGTTTATTTATGTACAATATATAGCTAGCCTCAAAATAGCTGAAATATTTCATGCCAGGGTAACTCTCATGATGAACCAGCAGGAACAGATATTGCAAAATAAAAAGTGTTAGCTGAAATAGATGAGTTCACAACTGTCTCTGTGGCAATATTGTTATTAACAAATCTCAACAAACAAGGGATAGCCATTTACTATTATTGGTTGGACAGTCAGCCAGTTGTTTAGATGGGATTTGGCATTTTTATCCTTCCTAAGGACCTGGGATGATGATGATGATGGTGGTGGTGATGACTATATTTTTATCCAGCCTTTTTTAATATATACCTCAAGGCGGCGAACATACCTAATACTCTTACCTCCTATTTTTCCCCACAACAACCACCCCGTGAGGTGGGATGGGCTGAGAGAGAGTGACTGGCCCAAAGTCACCCAGTTGGCTTTCATGCCTGAGGCAGGGCTAGAACTCACTGTCTCCTGGTTTCTAGGCCAGCAATTTAACCACTATGCAAAACTGACTCTCTTTTATCTCTTCAGCCACCTTAATGAGGTATATTTGGCCCCCGACCCCTCTCCTAGCATTTCAAGCCAATTTTTTAAAAAATCTAGCGGTTTCATGCTTGGCTGATCTGCACAAGGCATCACTGCACACAGCTTGCCATGTGAAAGTAACTGCTGGGTGGCATGATTTTATCATAGCTTTCATGTGGCAGCTGTGTGCATTCTAGCCTCAAAGACTTGTGCTGTAAACAGGCTTTAAAACTGTGAAACAGAAGCCAGAAGAAATAAGGAAGTGGTGGAAATGATTTGCATGAAAGGGTAGTGAGACTCTGAGGGTATGTTGCTGAAACACCGCTTTGAAGGTAAGCGCCAAACCTTGTAACTGATCCATGTCACGCTGCATAATCTCTTCAGGAATGAGGGCTCTCTTTGGCCTTTTGAAATTGGGCACTGCATTCCCAAAATTAGGTCAGCAAAGAGGAAGGTCAGACAATAATATTCACTCCTTTCCATTTAAATTTTATTTTATTATTCAATTAAGTAAATATAATTAATCCAAATGCCTCCACTGTAATTAATCGTTTCCTGCTGTCATATTCAAAATGACAATTTGAACAGAACTTTTGGAGCATTTGAAGACTGACAGCACCCCTGAAGCAGCAGTTTATCCTGCTGTATAATAGATGGATAGGCCAAAAAAAGTGAATGTTAAAAAATAACCAACAATACCTTACAGCAAACTTCTTAACCCAGGGTCTTCCAGGAATATTGGATTAGAACTCTGATTAACTATAGCCAAGACTGGCTAATGGCTCCTACCTAAGGATTACCCAACCACCTGTCATTAAAAAAATTATTATTTTTGAACAGATCATTCAGCGGTCTCTTATTTATTATTTTAACTACACTACAGATCAGAACAACAGTATAATTGTTGTCTCAGCCCCTGTACTCTGACAGCAGACGTAAGAGGCCCTGGCTTCTGGATGTTGCTCTTAAATGCCAGATTGGTTTGTAATAAGGCCTCCCTCCTCTGCGACTTGATTGTGGATGAGAGGGCTGACCTGGCAAGTATTACTGAGACTGGCTGGACTCAGAAGGGGGGGGGGGGTCCCTCTCAGAGATGTGCCCATCCAGGTTTTCAGGTTTGGCACAAACGGAGAACCTGGGGCAGGGGTGGTGGTGTGAGGATTGTCATCTGAGAATTGCTAATGGCTTTCAGGGGTGCTGTCCCACAGGTCACTGGATGTGATTCCTTGTTCATTAAGTTGGGCTCTAGGGATCAGGTGGCATTGTTGCTGCTGTACCAACCCCCCCTGGTGCATAGCAACCTCCCTGCCTGATCTCTTTGATTCCATCTTTGGGTTGGCAGTGGAATTCCCCAGACTTATGGTCTTGGGGGACATCAATATGCCTTCCCTGGGAGTGGGGTCTGAAGTGGCTCAGGAGTTCAGGGGTACCATGATGGGCATGGGCCTCTCCCAAGTCATCCAGAGGCTGACACAGGACAGTGGTCAGACACTAGATCTGGTCTTCCTGTTGAAGCAGTGGTGATGTGATCTACAATTGGGGAAATTTTGGTGTCCCCCTTGTCATGGGCAGATCCTGACCTGATTACCATGGGATCCTCTAGCACCACTATTCACTTCAGGGAGCCTGGACCCATTAGAATGGTCCACCCCCAGTGACTAATGGACCTAGAGGGGTTCCAGAGGGAGGTAGGGGTTGTTCCTGCTGGTCTGCTGCAAGGTCCATCCAAAGCCTTGGTTGCTTCCTGGAATAAAGGGGCAGCTGAGGCTTTGGATCAGATTGCACCTATGCAACCTCTCCCCTCTCAAGGATCCCATCACTCCCCGTGGTTTACAGAGGGGTGAGGGAGATATAACAAGAGAAGAGACGACCTAGAGCATTGCTGGAGCTCATCTAAGGATGAACTTGACTGAACACACTGAACTGCTATTAAGGCCTACCTTGTGGTGGTAAGGGTGGCAAAGTGACAGTACTCCTCCACTCCTATTGCATGCGCAGACTGCTGCCCCGCAGCCCTGTTTCAGATGATATGAGCCGTCTTGAGTAAAGGCAGCCTGGAGAACCTTTTGCAGGATCGTGCAGAGGAATTTGCTCAGCATCTGTCAGATAAAATCACTCAGATTCATTTACAGCTGAATGCTAGCTTTGCTGCAGGCCCAAGGGAGATGCCTAGGTTAGAGTCTTGTCCAGTTACCTGGGAACAGTTTGAACCTGAGGACATGGACAGGGTCCTTAGGATTGTGAGCTTGGCTACCTGCTCCTTAGATCCATGCCCCTCCTTGCTTGTGAAAGTGGCCTGGGGGGTGTTGTGTGGGTGGGTTCTAGCAGTGGTGAATTCCCCTCCTCAAGAAACCATCACTGGACCCATGATACTGAACAATTTTCATCCAGTATCCAACCTCCCCTTTTTGGGGATGGTGATTAAGAAGGTGGTTGTGCAGCAGCTTCATAGGACCTTGGATGAAGCAGATTATCTGGATCCTTTTTAGTCAGGGTTCAGACCCAGGTATGGCATGTAAACAGCACTAGTTGCACTTTTGGATGATCTCTGGCGTGGGTGGGATGGTGGTTATGCATCCATCCTTGCCTAACGTGACCTCTCAGCAGCCTTCAATACCATTGACCATGGTATCCTTCTGGATTGATTCAGAAGATTGGGGGTGGGCAGCATGGTGTTGTGCTGGTTCTCCTCCTTTCTACATGGTCAGTTCCAGTTGGTGGTGATTGGGAGGGAGACCCCTACTATGTGGGGTGCCGCAGGGCTCGGTGCTCTATCCTCTCCTGTTTAACATCTATATGAGACCGCTGGATGAGCTCACCTATTGCCATGGGGTTGTGTATCATCAGTATGCTGATGATACTCAATTGTACAGCTCTGCCCCTGGCAAATTAAGTGATGCTGTGGACATCCTATCCCAGTGTCTGGAGGCTGTGAGGGTCTGGATGGGGAACAACAGGTTTCAACTGAACCCTGGCAAGACTGGGTGGCTTTGGGTTTTGGGCCCCTCTGGTTCTAGGATTTTACCATCTTTGGTTCTGGATGGGGTCACACTGCCCAAACAGACCCTGTGCGCAATCTGGGGTTTCTCCTGGACTCGCGACTCCTGCTGAATGAGCAGGTAGCAGTCGTGGCTAGAAGGGCCTTTGCACAACTTCATATTTTGCACTAGTTGCGCCCGTTCCTGGATTGGAAGACCTTTCATGGTCACTCATACCCTGGTCACCTCCCAGTTAGACTACTGCAGTGCACTCTACTTGGGGCTGCCTTTGAAGAGTATCCAGAAACTTCAGCTGATACAAAATGCTTCTAGTCGAAATGTGCTTCTAGTAGAACACAAGACACACCTCTGCTTCGCAAGCTGCATTGGTTACCAGTTTGTTTCCAGGTCCAATTCAAAGTGCTAGTGTTGACCTTTAAGCCCTTCATGGCATGGGGCCAGGTTACTTGATGAACTGCCTGCCCATCCTACCAAATCCGGCAGAGGGGGCATGTTATGGGTTCCAACACCTAGGAGCTACATTTGCCAGGCTCTAGGCGGTGAGCTTTTTCCATGCTGTGGAATCTTCTTCCCACTGAGGTGAGGTTGGCCTCATCACTGTTGAGCTTCCAGAGGTCCTTCAAGAGTCCGTTGTGCCAACAGGCCTGGGGACTCCAAGGGACAGGTGATCTAGTGATACGGCTCCATTATTTTTAACATCCCTTTGCCTATTATTTTCTGTTTTAGTTTGGATTTTAGTTTATTTATTTATTTTATTTATTTATTTACACAATTTATTAGCTGCCCATCTCACTTTTTCAAGCAACTCTGAGTGGCATACAACAGGGTTAAAAAACAGTTAATAAATACATTAAAAAATATAAAAATGTATTTGTTGACTGTTTTTTAACCCTGTTATATGCCACTCAGAGTTGCTTGAGATGGACAGCTATAAATTGTGTAAGTAAATAAATAAAATAAATAAATAATGATTGTCTTCATGGAGAAAATCATTATCATAATCGTTGTTGCCATCATCATCATCATCTGCAGTGCTATAGCACCTGAATATTCATGGAAGGGGAATCCCCTGTCTGAAATCATTGTCTAGAATAAATTGAAATGAACATGATAGTGCCCAGACTGGAATAACAATGGAAGGATGAGAAAGTGGTATGTTGTCAACTACAGAGCACTCTTGAGGAAGTAGATTATCTAGACCCATTTCAATCTAGTTTCAGACATAGCCACGGCACAGAAAAAACACTGGTCTTTTTGGTAGATGACCTCTGTTGGCATATAGATGGGAAGAACACACTTTTAGACCTCTCAGTGGTTTTTTATGATATTTCCTGAACCATCTAAAAGGGTTGAGGTTTGGTGATGCTGTGTTTCAATGGTTTCACTTCTACTTGAGTGACTGCTACCAGTTGGTGTGGTGGGTGAGAAGAAGACAGTCTTGTGGGCCTCACTTCTGGGTTCCTGACAAGTTTTATTCTCTCACCCCTCCTATTTTACATCTATATTGAAACAGCTGGGAGAGGTTGTCCATCAATTCACAGTGAGATGCCATTGGTGCCCAACTACACATCTCCACTCTGGGCCGAGCTGGAGATGCAGTGAAGTCTTAAACTGGGTCTAGAGATTGCTTGGATCTGGATGGGATGAAACAGGCTGAAATTGAACCCTAGCAAGATGGAGTTGCTCTCTGTGCAGAAGGGATCTCTTTCAACTTTGCTGATAACTCTTGTACTCCCCTACAAGAGCAGGTTCCTGACTTGGGAGTATTTCTAGATTCACAGCTACTACTTAATAGGGAGATGGAGGCCACAGCTAGGAGACTTTCTCCCAGCTTTGGCTAGTGTAGTAGTTGCAGTCCTACCTGTAGCAGGGAGCCCTTGCCCTAGTAACTCATTTTCTCATAGCCATCACTTCATGTACTGCCTCCCGGTGGTCAATCTCTCTCTCTGCCTCTCTCTCTCACACGCACACACAAGATAAACATCGTATAAAAATGCAATATCCACCCCATGAGAGGGGTGGGCGAACGTCATGTAGAACCTCATGCACAGGGTCATGACCTAATGTAACATCTGTATGAGCTGAAGACAAAGTGGATTGTATATCCCGTTCTGATATCATTTATAGTTTATAGATTTTATAGTTGTCTCTGTCTTTATTGGCGTTTACGTTTTTGCTCGGCTTTTATTCTGTAAACTGCTGTAAGCAGAAAGCCATTCAAATGCTATAGTACTGAGAGGTTACTACTGTGCTTCTCCCCTGAACATGCTGCTGGTTGCCTAACACTGATATGCAATAGTTGCTGGTGCAACAACAGCAGGATTGCCCAATTCAGCAGAGGTGCTGGTAAGATATAGCTACGCTTTATGCTGGAACTATAGATTCTGTTAGGAAAATGCCTGGCATTAATGTATGCCCCAGTGGGCTTTGTTTGGCATAGCATAAACACTTGAGGAGCACCTCCCATCTGCTTTGCCCCATGTGTGCTATAGTAACAAACGTGAACGCATGGAAAATGAGATTCCCATACGCTGGCATTCATGAAGTTACAAAACATGAACAATGTCATTGGACACATCCTCAACACACATGGATGGAGTGAGATGCATCACCTTATTCTTGGTAGGAAGAAAACGTATAATGTTCTTTTGTAGAGAACCTGGATGAACCTAAAATACAGACCTGCACCCTCCTACCCCCCTTTTCTTCCTGATCTTTTCTATCAACATCTGCCCAGTAAATTGGGGGGTTTTTTACAGCTGTGCTTTTAACTTACCATACTCAGAATTTCTGAAACTGAGTATATGGTAAAACCATAACATACCCCCAATATTCATTGCATCTTATGGTTTGTTCCTGTCCTTCAAAAATAGTCCAACAAAAGCAATAAAGGAAAACAAAGTAATAGCCAGCATTCTCTGTTGGTTTCTCAAGAGAAGGAGATACTACTATTGTAGGAAAGTTCTGCATCTTAAAAATGACTATGAAAAACATGAAATGCATGTTCTCCCTGCTTTCATTTCAGTGAATTCAAGAAAATATATAAATATCACTCCGTATGTACATTTGCCAGATATGATACAGTATGACTGCCTAGGTTTAATCTATGTGATCATGGATCTATTTATTATAATGATCAATAAAACAATCCCATTCCCCCTCTTTTCTCCCCAGATTCTAATTATGAAGCATATTAAGCTGATAAATGAATAGGTCACAATTACTCCATGAGCTTGCCAGTCCAATATTTCTAACCAGTATACTCAATATTTCTCAACCTTGGCAACTGTAGTATATGGACTTCAACTCCCAGAATTCCCCAGCCAGCATGCTAGCTGAGGAATTCTGGAAGTTGAAGTCCACATATCTTACAGTTGCCAAGGTTAAGAAACACTGAGTATACTGAATATAATACAGAATCAATGATAACAATCATGTTAAAGGCAAATAAATCAGTAGCTAAGCACAAATCAGTGCAGATAAGAGAAAATCATACTGGGAGGTGGGAGGAGTAAAAAGCGAACAAATTTTTAAATACCTGAACATTTTGATACAGCAGCAATTATATAACACTTTACATTGCAGAAAATGGTCTGGGCAATTCTGTAAAAGCCATTTTCAGTAGATTACCTTCTATAAGAAACAACAAAGAAAGTTTGGTTTTATGCATGTAAAAAACAAATGTTCTTGGAAGCTGTAATTTCCCATGTTCTGTTTTCATAGCAGCTGGAGAAATGAAAGCTTTTTTTCTCCCAATAAAGTTATTACAGCATTTTTGCCATTTATGATTCTCCTGACTTTTGTCTTTCCTAGAACAGCAATGTAAAGATTGCTCTGCTTCATCATATGCCTGCCTCAGATTCAGAAATGGTACTAATGCATTTCCTTGTGTTTTAATTAAAATACAACATTATTTGTAATAGTCCGTTTATACATATTAGAACATCAGCTGTAAATACATAATTTTAATTAATTTAATTTAATAAAATGATGTAATTTTAATAATAGTTGTGATTACACAGCAACTGCTCCTCCCCAACTTGTTTCTGATTGCAAATTACTGTATCGTCTGTTTTAAAAATATTTTATAGTTGATTAACTTATCAATGGTGGCCTTTTATCAGTAAGTACAATGTAACTCACTGTAGCACTGTTTTTTATTGAATAATAAACATGAACGATCAAGCATTGCATATATTGTTTGCAAATCAATCAATCAATCAATAGATTGTTTAAGCCAAAATGACAAATAAATAATAATTACCTGCTGCAGTGTGTGTGTGTAATTCACAACATACAAGAATGCATTTAATAGGAAGTGAGCTGATTTTGTTTCCAAGTGGCTCAGGAAATGACTCTCTATCATACGCCTATAGGCACAGTTAACTCTTTCATCATTGATATGATGCAAATAATTCAAGAAGACACAAACTGAGTTATTAATTTGCTTATCAGGAAGGACTCTAATATATTAATTACTAGAGGGATATATGTACTTGACACAAGTTCAAACTACTATAAAGAAGTTGGTATTTAAATCAATCTGTTCTGTAGAGTTGGGCAACCTGAGACAGGTGATCCCCCAAACAATAACTCCTCTTCCTCCTCCTCCTCCTCTCCCCCAAAAGTACTCTGTACTACCATTTTGAGATGGAAAATACAAACTATAGTATTAAACCTGAAAAAATATACTTTACTTTACTCCCCATCCATCTGTCTAAAAAAAGCAAAGACATTCCCCTGCATCCACAAAATCCTTTCCTTGCCAATTTGTCAACATCAGCCCACCCACATCAGCCCTTGGGCACCCCAAAAATGTTAAGGGTAGTCTTCAGCCATTAAAAGATTGCACAATCCTGCTTTTCTGCATACATTTATAAAGCAAATGTCATATTTTTCAAAGACTTCTGAAATGTTCAGTGCCTCTAAGGTTGACTTCTGAGGTCCCTTGACTTCATAGCTGTTGGATCACTTCCAGTAGGAGTCACTCTTAAATGTGTGATCAGAAACACCACATAGAACATGGGTTTGTATGCACCATAGAAATAGTACATCTTCTGAAACTGTAAAGACTCTAAGATGGCAAATATGCAACTGAATTTGCTTTGCTGGGGAACCCAATTTCCTGCTGAGTATAAAAAAGATACCCTTTGAAGTAGAAGAGGACATACTAGCTCAGCATACGAAAAAACATTGAAATATTCCTGCTTCACATAAGAGTCTGCAAAATACTTTAGAAAGTATGTAACTAATGCCATTTAAAAATGAAATCCATAATTTAAATTTTGAGAAAAAATTGATTTATTTAAATTTGTTATAGCTGCCCACTCCAGTGAGGCTTACAAAATACAAAAACAATAAAAACAGTTAAAAAGTTTTCAAGGACTCATGAATTTCCCAGCACTACTGTGTAGCTCATGCTTGCCTCATTGGGATTCAGAATACATCATGAAGAACACAGTTTAGGAGAAGTTGCTGTTCCACGGTATCTAAAAGATGCCAGATTTGTATGGATGATAACATTCAAGAAGGATGTTGATAGGAAACAAGCAATAAAGAGAACCAGTCTGGTCTAGTGGTGAAGGCACCAGGCTAGAAAGCAGGAAACAGTGAGTTCTAGCCCTGCATGAAAGCCGGCTGGGTGACTTTGAGCCAGTCGCTCTCTCTCAGCCCAACTCACCTCACAGGGTTGTTGTGGAGAAAATAGGAAGAGGAAGGAGTATTGGTATGCTCTCCACCTTGAGTTATTTATAAAAATAATAAAGGCGGGATAAAAAATCTAAAAAAAACCCCTTTATTAAGCTAATAAACTTTGCTCTAATTCTTGCTCATTGCTGGACAACTTAACCAGGGAGTATAAAATGGATTAAAAAACAGAAGCATTAGAAAGAGCGTTCAGTTGCCTGAATTACACACAGTGATACAAAGCTTACAGGCTAGAGCCATGAGCCTATTTTAATTTTACTGTGGATATGCCTGCCAAAGAACTCACTACATGGAAAAAAGGAGACATGGCCAGAGTTAAGTGTTCTAAAAGTTTATTTACAGAATTGCAATTGAGAAATGTAATTTTAAGGCTGTTTTCCTACCAAGCTCAGGCTGAGGAGACAATTGCTGTCCACACAATCAAGTGAGTAAGGATGTTAGGGACACACATCCTTCCTGATCTACTTTGGCTGTTTATAGGTCATCTACAGATTGTTGGCCTTTGGCAGTGTAGATAATTTGGGATCTAGGTGCATTGATCATATTTTCAAATGAAGAAGAACACTGACTTATTCATTATGAGTTTGACAAGGGGGTTGCTGTACATTCCAGAAACTCAGTCCTACACACAATCAGTCTGAATCACCTGGGTAATCCTTTATGCAGGAACTAATCTTAGAAGTAACCACCCACATGCATGCTGGGTATCCCCCGGAAGTCTAGAATCACAATCATATCTCCAGTCAACCTCTGTTCAGGTCTTTGCAGGATTGCTTTCTCCAATCTGTTACTCTCCAAATATATTGGTGACAACTCATGACCAAATAGGAGTTTTATTCCAATATATTCAGGCAGGGACCAGCCTGGGGAAAACTAAGATAAAGAAACATTAACTTTTTCTTGTAATTTCTTCTTATCTTCTTAGTATTCCATCTTTCTGCTGTATTACAAATGGCCAATCTGGTTCTCCAGGTACAGAGTTCTATAATCCTTCAAACTGGGCCATGATAGATTGGACTGATGGGAGTTGGTGTTCAGGACATTTGGAAGGAGGTTCACACATTGTCTATCCCTAAACTGTATAGTGCCAAGGCAGAATGGTGGTGGGCAAGAGGCAGGGGGAACCAGCTACATGAACTCACTTCAATTTCTAATTCATAACCTGGACATTTAAAAACCTGAGAGACTTCACACTGAAATTTCCCTCTGATTTTTTTCCCCCTACATGTATATGTGGCATCAATTAAGCTAATACAACTTTCCACAATTTCTCCCCTTCTAGATATGGCCATCTTATCTGGGAGTTATGGAAGGTGTAGTCAAGCATGTCTGAAGACCACAAAATTGAAAAGTTATCGTAAGAGATAAATAAACAGAACAAGTAGGCCTGGATGAAAATACTATTTCAGCAGTGGAAGACCTCCATGGCTGCAAGAAACAAGACAAATTTCTAGATTTTTTTTTAAAAGAAGCACAAATTTGGGCTGAAAAAGTATAAGGTGATAATAATACAATTAAAAAAAAAAGACTTTTAGAAGCATTGGGCAAAAGCAATTAAATAATTATTTAGGCAACAAGAATGTATATAAATGTATATATTTTTGTTGTTAGATTTATAACCTGCCTTTCTTTCAGCTTTCATTTTCAGGTTAGCCCTATAACAACAACCCTTTGATGTAGATTAGACTGAAAGAGAGTTAGTCAAAGTATATTTGAAGCCAAAATATATATATATATATGGCCAAGTAACTCATTGGAGAATTAGAATACAAAGGCATTAAAGGGATATTCAAGGAGAACAGGGAGATTGCAGAGAAATGTAATTCTTTTTCATCTGTATTTACTACAGAAGATACAGGACAGCTATCCCAGCCTTTAACCACTTTCTCAGTGTGAGAAGGCAGGGAGAAGTGAGGGCCTCAAACGAACCATGTTTGCTAGGGGAGAG